GGACAACAGCTCGCTGATTGCACAAAAGTGAAGCCATGACATCCTGTTTATGGGTGCTGCCTTGAATTTTCAGAACATGGTAGACCCCCGATGAAGGGGGGCTGGAGGTCCCATGCTCACCTGCATATAGTCTGGGTTGTGCGTTAAAAAACTAAAGGGAAAAATCATATAAATAATTGAAGGTCAACAGAAAAAGTGATGAAAAGATTTCACACTCCATTTAAATCAAATCAAATCACTTTTATTGTCATGTCACATGTGCAGGTACACTGGTACAGTACATGCGAGTGAAATTCTTGTGTGCGAGCTTCACAGCAACAAAGTTGTGCAAAAATACAATAACGTATAAACAAGCAAAATATAAAAATGGCTTATCTAAGTAATAAGATGTATAGTATGTAAGGTATATACACTACTAAATGTGTGTGCTAGTATTTTTTTTCTACGTGTGTGCATGTGAGTGTGTGTACAGTGTGTATGTTTTACAAATGAATAAAGTAAACAATAAGATAAGAGATATAAAATATACAGTGGTTGGTATGTGCAAAACAGTGGCATTAATGTACAGTATGGAGTGTGTAATGTTGGAGTTTCAGTAGTGAGGGTGAGGTGTCTGAAGTGTTCAGCAGTCTGATGGCCTGATGGAAAAAGCTGTCTCTCAGTCTGCTGGTTCTGGACCGGATGCTGCAGAACCTCCTTCCTGATGGAAGTAGTCTGAACAGTTTATGGCTGGGGTGACTTGAGTCCTTGATGATCCTCCCCGCTTTCCTCAGGCACCGCTTCCTGTAGATGTCCTGGAGGGAGGGAAGCTCACCTCCAATAATCCTTTCTGCACACCGCACTACTCTCTGGAGAGCTTTGCGGTTGTAAGCGGTGCTGTTGCCATACCAGGCGGAGATGCATCCAGTGAGGATACTCTCAATGGCACAGCGATAGAAGGTCGTGAGGATGCGGAGGCTCATGCCAAATCTTTTCAGTCTCCTGAGAAAGAAGAGGCGCTGCTGTGCCTTCTTCACTGTATTGTTCGTGTGCACTGATCACGTAAGATCCTCAGCCAGATGAACTCCAAGGAAATGGAAGCTGCTCACCCTCTCCACAGCATCGCTGTTGATGGTGATGGGGGTGCGTATTCCTCTGCACCTCTGGAAGTCCATTATCATCTCCTTTGTCTTTGTGACGTTGAGGGTGAGACGGTTGTCCTGACACCAGTGAGTCAGAGCGCTGATCTCCTCCCTGTAGGCCGTCTCATCGTCGTTGGTGATGAGACCCACCACTGTGGTGTCATCCGCAAACTTCACAATGATGTTGGAGTTTCTAGTGGCCGTGCAGTCGTGGGTGTAGAGTGAGTACAGGAGAGGGCTCAGCGCACACCCCTGTGGAGCACCAGTGTTCAGTGTGACGGGGGATGAGGTGGTGCTGCCCGGTCTGACCACCTGGGTCTGTCAGACAGAAAGTTAAGGATCCAGCTGCAGAGGGACCTGCTCAGTCCTAGATCCTGCAGTTTCCTGTCCAGCTTCGAGGGAACGATGGTGTTGAATGCTGAGCTGTAATCTACAAACAGCATTCTCACATACGTGTCCCTTTTCTCCAGGTGTGACAGGGCAGCATGGAGTGTCAGGGCTATGGCATCATCAGTGGACCTGTTGTGGCGGTATGCAAACTGTAGAGGGTCCAGTGAATCGGGCAGTGCAGAGCAGATGAAGTCCCTGACCAACTTCTCGAAGCATTTGCTCACGATGGGGGTCAGTGCTACAGGTCGCCAGTCATTCAGTGAGGAGATGGTGGAGGATTCGGGTACAGGGACAATGGTGGCCATTTTGAAGCAGGCTGGGACTACAGACAGAAAGAGGGAAAGGTTGAAGATGTGTGTAAACACTCCAGCCAGCTGAGCCGCGCATGACCTGAGGACGCGGCCGGGAATCCCGTCCGGACCAGTAGCTTTGCGTGCGTTCACCCTCCTGAAGCACCTCCGCACATCCTCTTCAGACACAGTGTGCGCACTGACGTCATCCGCGGTGCGCTCACTGTCCGGTCTCGTGGTGTTCGCTGTGTCGAATCTGGCATAGAATGCGTTTAGATCCTCACACAGAGAGGCCGTGGTCTGCGGTGTTCTGGTTTTCCCTCTAAAGTCTGTGATTGTGTTTAGTCCCTGCCACATACTCCGGGGGTTGTCAAACTGTTGCTCCACCCTGTCTCTGTACTCACGTTTGGCTGTTTTGATCGTCTTCCGGAGTTGGTAATGTGCGTGTTTGTAGTCTGATGTGTTCGCAGAGGCAAAGGCGGTGCTCCGCGCCGCCAGCGCCGTTCGCACACCTCCATTAATCCAGGGTTTTTGATTTGGGAAGGATTTAACTGTTCTGGATGGGACAACATCTTCCACGCATTTTCTGATAAATCCGCAGACTGAGTCTGTGTAATCATCAATGTCTCTAGCAGCCGCATGAAACATTTCCCAGTCCGCACAATCAAAACCATCCTGCAGCGTAGACTCCGATTGGTTCGACCAACGATGCACCGCCCTCAGTGTTAGAGCTTCCCGTTTCAGCTTCTGCCTGTAGGCAGGTATAAGCAGGATGGAGCGGTGATCTGATTGGTCGAATGGGGCACGGGGGAGGGCTTTGTACGCATCCCGGAAAGAGGTGTAGCAGTAGTCGAGTAGCCGGTCTCCACGTGTATTGAAATGGTTGTGTTGGTGTAGTTTTGGTGAGACTTTCTTCAGGTTACCCTTATTAAAGTCCCCAGTCATAATAAACGCCGCCGCTGGGTGTACGGTTTCCTCATTGCTGATCGCGCTGTACAGTTCTCTGAGTGCTCGGTCAGTGTCGGCTTGTGGGGGAATGTAAACAGCTGTAATAATCACCGCTGTGAATTCTCTCGGTAGCCAGAATGGCCGGCACTTAATCATCAGGTACTCCAGGTCCAGAGAGCAGAAGGATTTGACCAGGTGCAAATTCGCATAATCACACCAGCTGTTGTTGATCATGAAACACACACCGCCACCTCTGCTTTTCCCTGTAAGCTCCTGTGACCTATACGCGCAGTGCACGGAGAACCCCGGTGGTTGTACTGCGGTGTCCGGTACTTTGTCCGATAGCCAGGTTTCTATGAGGCAGATCACGCAGCAGTCCCGCATCTCTTGCTGGAGTGAGATCCGAGCCCGAAGCTCGCACAGCTTGTTCTCCAGGGACTGCACATTAGCCAGTAGTAAACTGGGTAGTGGTGGTCTGTTAGTGCGCCGTCTCAGTCGAACTAGAACGCCAGATCTTCTCCCTCTGCGTCGGCGCTTGCGGCCTCCACGGGCCCATAACAAAGGCATCTCAGGTGAGATGAATGGGGGATCTGCAAACGGCGGGTCCGTGATGAAAAACCTGAACTCCGGAAAGCAATGAGAAAATCCGTCTTTTATGTCCAGTAAGGTTTGTCGGTCGTACACAAGCATACATGCGCTACTCGTGAAAAAATAAAGAAAAAGAAAAAGTAGTAAACATAAAACAGCTGTTGCTTGGTGGAGCTCGCGACGAGGCAGCCATACTCAGCGCCATCTTGTCTATCTATTCGGTACACCGATACCACTATGTGCTTCTTAAAGAAGTTTATCTCTGAGTAAAAGAGAGAATTATGAAAGGAGCTTGTATTGTTTGTGATCATGGCTGACAAGGTACGTAAATGGTCACGAGGAGCTAAATGATTGGGATGACATGTAACAGTTAAAATGTTAAATATGTGGTGCTAACAGAAATGCAGCTGTTACATTTTAAAATGTCATGCTTCATAATTGGTTCCTCATAAACACATAAGTCCAAAGACACTTTTATACACATCATACTCAAACAAAGGAAAACATGCAAATGAGGTTTTAAGAAGCAACAGAAGTTTGTTAAAAAGGCATTTTGCTTGTAAAAACCATGTCACTATATGCTTTTATGGCTTTAACATGACTCCAGTTGGCTCTCATGATGTTCAAAGGTGTGGATTACTTGTTTACTCAATACATTTGCAGTGGTCTCTAGAAGGATTGAATGCCTTTCAGTCAGAACTAAGGGCACAAAAAAGCCCATGCACAAACTCCTGTCTCAGCAGGCCAAGTCCGCAAAATCACAGCTGAACTTCTAAAGTCCTCTATCAGCAATGCGTCTCTACCACTGACCTGTAACATGGATGTTTTTTCTCCACAAATAACACAAGTCTGGAGGTGTTCTGTCGTGAAGTGAAGTTGCTAATGCTAATGGTGAGCTTAAACTAGCCAAGACGTTTGCTGCTAATTCCAGGACGTTAATGCAACAACAGCCCTCCCTGTTGTGAGTGAAGATTGGCGAGTTTACGAACACAAATTCACAGTGTGGCGTTGATCAGTAAGGATTTTCAAATCCTAGAGTTTTACCGTCTCTTTTCTATCAGATGCTAATGTAGGAGACTATGTTCATATTCATCCTGCATGGAAAAACTCAGAGTGACTGATTCTAATCAGAAAAAAACCCTTAAAAAATGGTTTTTCAGTCAACCACACCATTTAATAAAATCATGTCTCTTTGACAGCTTTTCACCCCTCAGACTTAAGAATGTCTTTACAGTCTTCTTTTGTTTTGTGTAGAGTTTCACTGAAGTATGAGAATGAACACAATACACCTGTAAACTGTATAAATGTGTGCTTGTCTTGTCTGAAAAGCACAGCTTGTACCAAATTCATTCAATCTGGGTAGTCGTGACCATAGAGTGTACTTGTTAGTCACCTTCTCTTTCTCTCATCCCTTTGCAACTTCCTCCCAAGGCTGTCTCCCTCCCCGCAGGTTTTATTTGTTTAATAAACTCACCCTGTGAAGAAATTCAATTTATATATATAAAAAAACAAGTCTCTACTTGGATATGTGTGGGCTAAACAGCTGCACATCAACAATTTATCTCTTCTGCTTTTTCCTTTTCCTATCATCTTCTCTGCCCAAACCCTTTCACTCTTTGATCTGTCTCCATCTGCTCCTGTTTCCCATCATCCTGTCTCCAAGCAGGGGATGAAGGGGTTCAGCAATATGTCCCTCAGCAGCAAAAGGAGTAAGAGGAGGATTAGAAGGAGGAGCAGTCTCGGCAGCGGACGGGAGGGTGTGCTGCTCCCCTTGGCCCTCCTGGTGGCAGTGACCATGTTGAGTGACCCTGCTCTAGCGCAAAAGCAGCGAACCAGCGGCGGTTCCGAAAAGGTCCCCGTCCTGAATATTGCAGTGATCCTCGGACGCACTCGCTACATCTCCGACCGGGACATCCGTGCTCTGTGGAGCAAAGAAGACCCTATCGACGTCAATGTGGTCACACTGTTGGTCAATGAAACTGACCCAAAGAGCATCATCAACCACATGTGTGACCTGATGTCAGGGACCAAGATCCACGGCGTGGTGTTCGGAGACGGCACTGACCAGGAGGCCATTGCTCAGATTTTGGATTTTATTTCCTCACAGACGCTTATACCCATTTTGGGCATTCATGGAGGGTCGTCCATGATCATGGCTGACAAGGTACGTAAGATCTGGATTCATATAAGTGGAAAGGGGCAGTGAATGACCCAAGGAATGGGTGAGTGATTGAATAAAGTTGCATATTAGAGCTTTTTATTTGGAATTAACTGGTCAAAAGTCTTGTTCTTTTTTCAAAAATACCATTCTGTAAAGACTGAGAAGAAGCCCTCGCAATTTGCTGCAGCCTAAACATTCCCCAGTAGGTCTACAGAGAAGGAAGATACAGAGAGGAACCATTCAGGTCCTAATTAAGATAAGGATACAGAAAAAAGGGAGGGGAGATGAGGTGAGTTTCATCTGAGAACTGTAGGAGTCACTTGAAGTATTCAACAAAGGCTAAACAGGATAGCTGGGAAAGGAAGTTTATCTGTGAGTAAAAAGAGAGAATTATGAAAGGAGCTTGTGTTGTTTGGGCCAATATAGACTACGCGGTCCAATGAGATGTAAAATTGAAAATCTTCATTGATTGTGTGACGAAAATCCTTCATACAACGTGAAAAGGCTTGATTGGTGTCCTCATCTGAATGGGCAAGGTTTCCTCTCCTGCCAGTCTCTTTGAGGCAAGAAATGAACAATGCATGATTGTGCGGATGAGTTCCTCAAAGTCATCAAGTTTCACAATTGAGCTGTACTTAAATGTGTTATTTGCCCAGATCAAAGAAGGCTCATGAGCAGGAGAGGCTGTGCAGAGGGAGTAAGGAATTATATTTAAGTATAAAGAAATCCAATAAAACATTCAGTTATTTGTGCGAAATGAGTCACAGTAAAAGGTGAAAGTAGGTTAGGTAAAATGCACTTTTAGAGGGTGAAGAGACTTAATAGCAGTCGTAAGTTCAAGAACACCTTTAGGCAAAACGTATGAGCACAACCCCTGCTGTAGCAGAATACATCCCTACTTTCCTCAAAGAAGCATTGCCAGATTTAACCAGATAAGAGGACTATACCACTACACCAATACCACTATGTGCTTCTTAAAGAAAACCAGCACCGTCAAAGTTTAGCCAACAGGACCTCTACAGCAGCTTCTACTAGCAAACACCCAGGTAAGCCAAGAAAGGGTTACAAGGTTTTTACGGACCAAATTTGTGTTCATCGATGGTCTGTCCTGTACGGCAATATTCAAATATTAGGTCTTTTTTCTGTTTTACAGCATTGTTGTGCCATCCAAAAAAAAAAAAAAAAAAGCTTAACCTTAGATGGATGTGACAGTACCCCCACACCCCTACTTTGGTTCTTTGCCAGTGAACAGATAGTTGATTTGGACGCAGTGTGAAAATGCACCTTATACAGCTGGGATTGACCATTAGAAACACCTTTCTCTGCACATTTCTACTCATGATGGCTTTTCAATAAATTGACTGAATAATCACAACAATTGTCTGAAAACACCTTAAGTCTGCTAAAACAAAAGTCTCCGAGCCCTACAAGCTTCCTCATTACATATGTGAAATGTCAACAAAAATCTATGTAAGAAGACCCTACCACCAACATTTCATGGTGTGAGGTCTTGGGTCTGGTTCATACGGCAAAATAACTGTGCAGATTTTTTACCCAGTTGTTCCCTTCCAACGATCTTAAGGATTAGCTTAATGGCTCTAAAGATAATCTTATCAGATATTCCTGCCCTGTGTTCCAGAGGGCTCGGATCTGTTCGGAAGGGCCACTACTGTCACAAATTTGGGATACTCAACATGTTGGACTTCCGTGTGTGGTGTGCTCTGAGAAAATGAGTGTGAAGCCTGTTGAATGTGACATGTATCTGATCAGAAAGCAAGGCGATGGAAGCCCATTGCGTGGAGTGAGGAGAATCCAAATTTTCCATATTTATTTACTCCAAAATCATGCTTGACCTCGAGAGGTTTGCTGACCGTCTCACTTAGGATTGTTGATCTGTGACATGTGGTCACCATGTTATGTCTATGATTTTCTTATCACTAATTGTGGCTCGTGTTTTGAAAATCTTCTGACAATTGTGAAATGTTGCCATGTGAGCCAGACCTTTACTGAAGGAATGGGGAGTGTTTAAACATTTGGAGGAAAACCGTAGTGATAAAGGCATCAGCCAACATCAGAGTGCTGGTTGATGTCAGAAAACATGCAGACAGTTGGATCAGTGGAGATAAAAGACACATCATCAGATGTAATTGTTTGATTTCTGTGAACAAATTACACGCCATCAGCTAAAGCTCCCGCTCTCTTTCTCTTGACTTGCCTTTTATGCATGTCTTCTTTAGTAGTTCTTTTCCGAAGATGCTCGTAAAGAAAATCACAACTTCCTCCTGTTTGTTTCACATGAAATGGTTCAGCAGCCATCCAATTCTTAACCCATGGGTTAGATGAGAGTTGCTATTCTTAAAGTTAATGTATAATTTCTTCAATGACTTAAAACTGGTTCATTTATCCCATATGTGGTGCACTCCCGGGAGAATAAAGAAGGAACATTGGAGGGAGAGTGACAGAGTGTGTGTTGAACTAAAGGAGTTGGAGAGGGCAGGTAGGGAGATGAAGGGGTGAGGGATAATCCCTGATCTTGACCAGCGGTGGCGAGTGGAAGGGACATTACTGAATGTACTGCTTAGGTCCTTTTTCGCTTGGAGTATTTCCAGAACATTTAAGTGGTTTAGCTATCACTTCTGAAGTCACTGCGCTGACTTTTTTATTGTCCTGAGCTCTGATCACAAATCACCCTGACACGAAACTCGACCAAACCTGTGAGCACTGCAAGAAAAATGTTGCAGAATTCTTTCTTCTTTCAGAATATTGCAGTAAATAATTCCAGTGTTGGTTCATTATTGTTTGAAACCAATAAGTTGAGTCACTTATGTTGGATTTTTGGTCAGTTTAATAGAAAAGGTCCTTCAGTCATATTTTTTTAATACATTTGCAGTGGTCTCTAGTAGAAATGAGTGCCTTGTCAGTCGTACTCTGAGGCCAAACGTTCAGCACGGAGAATTCAGCTGGTGGAGAAAGTAGCTTCAGACGCCAGGATTTGCTCTGTAATGCTGATGTTTTATCCCCATAAATAACACAACCCTGGAGGAGTTTTGCTGTGAGGTGGAGGTGCTAATGCTAACGGTTAGTATCTGCTAGCTGAGACGCTCTCTGCTGTTTCCTGGACGCTAAACCAGCAACAGCTTTCCCCGTCGTGAGTCACGATGGGTGAGACCATGAATGCTTAGCGACAGAAAATAAGACTCCAAAATCTGCCACCTGAAACGTCTTCCTCCTCCAGCTGAATTCTACATCCCCAGTTCCCCAGGGGACAACTTACAAGGCATTCATTCCAACAAACCACTCTAAATGTGTTAATATACAAGTAAAACTGACCTATGAGCATATAACACAAGTATTATGCATTTTATTTCTACCATTATATCAAATAAAATACCTCGCATGCCAATGCATAAAGACAATAGGTACATGGAATTTTTTACTAAAGTTTTATGCTGTGAGGCCCGGAACCAAGTGACTCGGACCAGTGCAAGTCCTCGGCCCGGTGGCTGCTTGCTTCATTCCTTGTTAATGTTCTCATGTAGTTTCGCCTCCTTTTAGGATTTATTCTGTTACCCTCAGAGGTAGCAGAGTCTTGTTCCGCCTTCTTCGTGCAGATTTTCTCTCTAATCCTCGTGTAAAATATACGGAGAAACTTGCCTGCAGAGATTATGCCTTGTAAGACCCCCGGTGCGTTTCTGTTCTCCGGTATGCATTCATACTTGACTGTCTATGGGTTTGTTGAAATAGTCGTGTGTTTAGGGCATTTGCGTGTCTACTGGAGAGAAAACCTCTTGGTGTTGATAACACCAACTCAGAACCCTTCCCATGTGTACCTCCTGAGTCGCTTTAAATCATTTCCCTTTTCTTTTTAATTTTCTCCTCATGCTTTCCCGCCATCTCGCGTCTCCATCCATCTTTATTCCACCCCTGCTTGTTAATTAGATAAATGTTGCCTCGTGTTTGTCCCTTCCATACATCTCCCGGCCTATTTTGAATAATGCACACTTGCCTGTATTGAAAAGAATAAATTATTGATTAGGGAAAGAATGATCCTTTTGAGGCTGAAGTAAAGCATTTCAGCTGGATTGTGCCACACAAACAGGAAAAAATAAAAACACATAATCATGTTCTTCTTTATAATGATTATTTGCCATTTGTTTTTTTATCTCACCACTCTGTGCCCTTTCCAGGCATTGTTCAGTTATTTATTTAGCATGGTGTAATTGTGTGGGTGGTCGTCTGGGCTGGTTTGTTGATTGCACTCATGGGTTTCTCATGCTAAATGATTATTGACTCCCTCAAAGGTCAGTAATGGAAAATGTTTGTCACAAACACTTAACACTTTTTGGTCTTTTCTGCCCTAATTCAAAGCTGCCAATTGACACATCCACATGGATGTGCATCCTTCTCTCTTTCTTGAACGAATGGTCAATGAATCAAATCCTTTTTTCAGTGAAAACAAATCACGAATGTGTTGAATGAATGGATTAATTCAGCAGCTGCCAGATCTCTGTGTATGTGTGTAGCCCCACCACACTTTATAAGTCTGGTGGGCTGCCAGGCTTTGCTTGGTCATCTGCCCTGGCTAAGTGTGGTCCTCAGTCCCGCCTCCCGACCCTACCTTCTCTGCTGACACAGACGACGCACGGCAGCAAAATGAACCGCGGGACTGCCCTCCGCTGATACTGGCGAGAAACGGTAGCGGAGCACAGCAAAAACTCTTGATTCCCCGCCACTAACGCGCTTGATACTATCGTCAAAACTAACTTCCACCCTACAGAACAGTGCTCACACACGATTGGATCGGCCTAGTTTGGGCCGGAGGTCGAAAGGTTTGAACTGGAGCGGAACAAGATGGATTCTCCTGAGTTTGGAAAACTACACTTTTCACGAGAATTCATCTTGCAGCGCAAGGTTATGAACGGATTTTCCGCGTGTTAAAGGACAAGTCTGGATTTTGATAAATTAGTTGCTGACTGAAGATCTTCTTCATGTAGGTTTTACAA